GAGGAACTTCCCCAGTTGATATTCCCTGGGGATAACAATGTTCAGATCAACGGAGTGGAGAACATTGAGGCAGTAATCGAAGCCAAGCTACTGACCAGAGCAACTGAATATCACACCTTGATCATTATGCCACTTCTTCCACTCACGCGACCTTATCTGTTGGCAGCCTTTCCCAAGTACCAGTACAACCATGAAACAGTTGCCTTCATTTTCAGGTAATTGATCTGTAGTTTGTAATAGGTTTTAAAAAAATTAGTCTTCTCTTTTATATGAAACATTGTAAGCATTAATTAATAAGGTTAAGCAGAATTTACTGCTGGCCCAAAATTTATTTTGATCGAACGTATAACTGCACACGTGCAAATTAGAAAGCTGCATAGTAACGCACATAAAAACACACACGTGCAGTGTGCACGTTGTTGGAACGACATTAAAATAGAGTTTGTTGTAATAATATGTAAAGTTCAGTCGGCTAAATTTTAATACGATAGATAATTTTTTAAATCATCATTTCAGGTGCCTCGAATTGACTTTTGAAGAATCGGATTTGCTATTCTGTTCCTTGTGGGGCGATGGGGATACTCCACTAAGAAAGTTTCAGATTAATTCCACGATCTTTTCGAAAGAGAACTTCTTTATTGCTCATCTCAACACTCTACTTTCCATTCAGATGAGTGTTAAATTCAGTCGCAATGGAGCATTCTCGGGTCAGGATCTGCTGCATGTAATGAAGAAAATGCGAAACAATGCTCGTTATCTGAGAACAAGACTGCTGTCATTTTCTGGCGTGATAAACAGTCGTAACATCAAAAGAGTAACCATAAGATGGGACTGGATTCTTGAGCGCTGGGAGAACAACGAGACTTTTCGAATAAACTCAACAAGATCTGCTATCGCTTACATTGATAAGCAAGATCCTGTACTCGTTACAGATATTGCTAAGCTGTATACATTCTTTGAAAATGGGGCTACTGCTGTTTATATGCAAATGATTTTTATGCTTTGTAGATCATTTTTAGATCAGTCACTGACAGTAGCTCAAAGGGTTTATTGGATATGGCGGGTTAAGTCATTGTTTGTAATATGGAGACAGTCTGTTAAAACTCTCCACTTCATCACCCGCGAGACTTTTACCGACATTAAAAGTTGTTGTGATGCATTTATTATGTATGTTCTCCAGATAAATGGAAGTAAAGTTCCACTTGTACCTTGGTTTTGTGGGTCTGATCAGAACGAGCAGTATTTTGCAGAAGTGAGGTATGGTGAAATCTTTATTTTATATTGGCCATATATTATGTAAGTTTTATTAACTCTCGTGATTTTCTTGACTGCAATCTTCTCATTAAAGATCATTTATAAGTATGTAAGTAACACTTATTATTAATTTCAGGGTTGGTAGGTATGCAGGACGTAGAGTAAACATCGATGCTATTGAAATGGTAAAGCACGGATCAAAGTTCAACAAAAAGTTTGAACTTTCCTTATCAGCTGCGCAAGCCACTATTCCTGCGCATTCCAGAGGAAGATGCATTCTCGGCTTCAATGTTCCTGAGGCTGATAAGAAGATTGAGCTAGTTGACCTGACTGCAGAGGAGTTAGGAGAGATAATGAACATGGCGTCAAAAGATGCAAAATCGCAATATAATTCCGTTATAACAGGAGACCGTTTTCATGAACCTGACAAAGGAATCAAAAACTATCTGAAGACGAAGATCGGCGGAATCTGTACGTCAAAGAATTTGGCGTCATTGGTGAACTTGTACGGGCAGTGCGGACGGACAACGTTACCTGGCAGCTCTCGGTTGGGCCGATATACTCTGCACCATCTTAAGAAAGTGCACTATATCCGGAGCTGTGAAGTCTGCACAATGAGAAAACCTGGACAGGTTCTCAGATTCACCTACAAGAGAGGCAACAAAGTTATTACGGCTAGGGGGAAAATATTATTCCTGTCGTACGTTGCAGGAAAGTCGGAATTTCCTGTCGATGCTTGGTGCAAGCACGTTTCAACAAGTTGTATTTGTTGGGTCAAGCAGGTTGTAAACGAACAATTTTACAGGACAACTTTAACCCCTGGTTAAGACTGAGCGTTTTAAATTTTATCAGTGATTAAAAGTGAACCAATATTTGGCTACGTCTCTATGGTTTATTTTATCCTGTATATTTTAATTTTAGAGAGTGTAATGAATGTTAGAGTTTATTGTTTTATTTATAATTATATTATATGTATATAATTTGATATAAGTTAAAGCTATTATTAGCTTTAGTGTGATTAATAAGTCGTTTGCTTTGTACAAAATTATAATACATAGAAGTTGCGAAAAATTCTCAAAATGTTTGTCCTTTTATGTCCTTCTATGTCCTTCTATGTCCGCCTATGTCCTTCTATGTCCGCCTATGTCCGCCTATGTCCGCCAATGTCCGTCCGTGTCCGTCTGTGTCCCAAAAAACACGTCCGTTGTCTCATAGAATCCAAAAAGGACAGGACATAGGCGGACATAGACGGACATGACACCCCCCCCAACGTTGCCTGTTGGCGCCCCCCTGCCGAAAAAAGCGCCCCCCTGTTGGCGCCCCCTCCCTTTTGCTGCCCCTCCCTAAAATTGAACAAATTAGGCGATTATAAAGAATACGCCGGTAAAATCTCATAAAAAGTGTGTATCTAGAGCAAAACGCGCAGTTTTGCTAGTACTTTAGTTAAGTTTTCGAAATTGTCCCACATTCAAACGACGATTTGGCGCCCCCCTAAGACGGCGCCCCCCTGCACAGCGGGGTCAGCAGGGCCTTTCGTTACGCCACTGGGGGGGGACCCCCAACCCATGTAGCTGATACACCTCACAGCAAGTAGACCAAAGTGGCTCTTGCTTGTGAAGGGTGTATCAACTACCCGCCGAGGCGGTGGGTTGGTAGTCCCCCCTGGGATCATTTCGTCCGTAAAATTTTACACATTATAAAAGCTACAATAAATTATCTATAAAATTTACATAAACAAATTTAAGAGACCTCAAAGCTCGTCTTCTGAGGAATGAAATTGAAGGATACGTCGCTCTATTCACTATTAATGAAATGTTTAGAAATCTACATTAAACCTTGCCATTGTAATAATTTGTCATACGTTGTATGACCCGCCGCGCACAAGTGCGCGGCTCCCCCTCACCCCTGTATCGTAGAAACTCTACAGTACGCTATAATTTACCTGGGGACCTCAGCCTATCATGTTCATTAACATAGAATAGAGATTAGGCGGAATGACAGGCTGAGCGCGGCCCAATAAGCTATAATGAAACGACAATGGTCGTCACGACGTGATACAAGTAATTATATAACTGCTCCAAATTTAATTGGTGCTAGCTGAGTGCATGCTCAGAAACTGCTGGGTACCAATTTGTTCTAGCACGTAGCTCCGTTACGATCTCGTAGGAAATTAGCCAAAAGCAAGCTTGATAATGCACTCTGCGCGTCGGCCGATTGGCGACGTCCTCTAAAGGTCTCCAAGTTATATTGTATATGAAATATGATACAAATTATATATACATGTTGTAATAAATAGCTATTCTCCAACCAGAAATGAAATAAAATTGAAATGTTCGTTGTTTAGTAGCATTTTATATCAAATAGAGAAGTAGAAAGGATATAAATTGAGGTGTACCCTTTCTATCTGCTATAAAAATTTGAAAAGTGTAATGTCAAAGGGTTACATCTCAAGATATATCCCTTCTATTTGCAGATCGAGATATACTTTTGTATAATTTCTAATGTAAAAGGGGTATATCACAAAATGTAACCTTTCTAATTGTCTCCATATCGAGCCCTTTGACAGAATAATTGTCAACAAAACGGTATACTAAGTCCAATTTTTCGAAATATGGCTATATTTGTATCAAAATTTTCAGTAGAAAATTCTCTACAATATGAGCTACATATTATTTATTAATATATCAGAATGTTGTTGAATGCAATTCTCAAGGAAGTAAGTACCAGTTTAAAAACATTATGTTTGGTTTTGCCTTGATAATTTCTGACAGTAGGAAGTAAGTCCAGACTTACTTCCTTTTCTCAGATAAAAGATCTGTGAAAGAAATAAGTAACTGGACTTACTTCCTTTTGGCAGGGGTTCTAATTTCTCGTTTTTAGACCGATTATGTATGTTGCAGAAGGTTTGTATCACTTGTATGTTTCAAGAATGTTATAAAAACTGGCAGTGAATCGTTTTAGAACCCTTATTATCAATTTAACAATTTAACAATGTGTTGCACAATTAAGTGACATACTGATTTTACAAGCTGCCTTGGTTTGATGTTGCATGATTTTGCAGAACTCATCTAAACAATTAGAATTTGTTAATTAATAATAAATAATTGTTAATTAATAATAAATAAAAGGGTATATTTTGATATATATCCCATATTATGATAAATCCACGTTTTATTATAGCAGCTTAAAAGGGTATAATTTGAGAAAGTTTATTCAAAAGGGTATATGTTCATCTACTATCCCATTTATAAGACTCATAATAGAGATGTATCTGAAAATAAATACTTTGTCTAATATTTCACCCGGGCAGTGGCGTAACGTTGCCTGTTGCCCCCCCCCCTGTTGGCGCCCCCTCCACTTAAGCTTAGGCGCCCCTCCCTAAAATTGAACAAATTAGGTGATTTTAGAGGATATGCCGGTAAAATCTCTAAAAAAGTGTGTATCTAGAGCAAAACGCGCAGTTTTGCTAGTACTTCAGATAAGTTTTCGAAATTGTCCCACATTCAAACGACAATTTGGCGCCCCCACAAGATGGCGCCCCCCACACAGCAGGGTCAACGGGGCCCTTCGTTACGCCACTGCACCCGGGACACTTGCTTATGCGGCAGGAAATTGTTTCTTAGTCCTTTGATTGTAAGCAACAAACAGTTTTTATTGATAATCTCAAAATAAACTTTTTAGAGATATACCCTTTTACTTGGGAGGTGACGAAATGCAAATTTTTGATAAAAAAGAATACCATTTAGTTCCATCAATGTGACATATTATGTGAAATACAGCACTATTGTTCGTGATGTCTGAAAGCACAGATCTAGCCAGCTCCAGTTCACCGCAACGAAAGAAGGCCAGACTTGATAATGCAACTCCTTCCTCCTCCCAAGCTGAACCTGCTAACAGCTGTCCTATATGTCTAGACAGTTGGTCATCCACTGGAACTCACAGACTGGTTTCTCTCAAATGTGGACATCTCTTTGGACAACTTTGTATAGAGAAATGGCTATCTACTCGATATACTTGTCCACAATGCAATGGTAGTTCAAAGAAATCAGATATCCGACCTATATATGCTAAAGTGATATGTGCTGTTGATAATGATGAGCGTGATGATGCCCTACGGCTATTAGAGGTTGGAACTTAAATTAACTAAACCTTTTCTTTTTTAATTGTTCCTTGGTTTTCATGCGGCCAGGTAGCGCAGTTGGTTAGAACGCCTGTCTTACAATCGTTAGGTTGCGAGTTGAGAAAAGACAATTTTTTTATTTTATTATTTATCACCAATTCAATACATAATCAATAAATATATATCCGAATAAATTTGATTAAAAATTAAATGATACAAGTATGCTAGCAGCTAGCGCGCTTATATTTGATAAATATTCACGCTGTTAAAATGGGTTTTACCACACCGCCACTCACATTAGCACAGTTGGTGAACGTACCCAGGCGCTGTTAAGCTTTTATGAGCCCTGGTTGACTGCTGAGAGTGGCGAAGGGGCTGATATTAATTTTATCTTAGTTTAACCTAGATTCCAATAAAATTTTAGTTTTGTGTTATAGTTATATGATTTTTATGCGATGTTTAAGTTACAGCTGCTCGCAATACATTATTGCTTAAAAATTGTTAAATATGCTCGCTATACGCTTAATTTTAGATACCGTATGTATATATACATATCAGCTCATAATACCAAATAACAATAATAAATAAATTAAAAGCATTGAAGAGGTCCAAAACCAATTCAAGCATGACACAAAGTTGAATACATTTTCATCGGAAGCTGCAAGCTTATTAACGTTTGATTCCGTACGTTCATGATCCGTTATTATGCATTCACCTTCAGGCGGTGTCGACGGATCATGCGAAAAGGGTTTTTGACAGGCTGTGCCCTTACCATAATTAAACTGAACCATTGCCTGATACGATGTAAACAAGAGTGTTGGATAGGTGAGCCGCGCAAGCGCTCGCGCATTTGTGTCGCTCTGACAAATAGCACTTGAATAATTTAGCTACCAAGACGTAAATTGTGCGTTACGTAAAGTATTATTTTTCCCTTCGGATAAAGTGAACGTTACACCCGCGTGTAACCTGCTTTAATGTTTTGTGTGCATGTGTGGTGGAGTGAGTGTATAATGTAATGATTGAATGAATCTTTTTTCTTTTGTGGTGCATATATGATGTGGGTGACAGGTGTAAAATCTAAAATATATAAATATAAATGGGGGTCTTTTCATAGGAAAGTGTTGAAGTTTAAGTCCTGCCAGTTAATATTGTCAGGTTGGTGTTGAGCCTTCATGATAGAAAGCTTCAATCGGGATTTAATTGAACCTATTGAACCTATTTTTCCACGTGCATTTGACTGCTCAAGAAACCTATTCCATAAATTTGCCCCTTTATATGCGAAATTGTGAGATGAGTGTGGTGTCACAAATCTGTCATCTCTGAGCTCAGACTTCTTAAAGAGAGAATACATGGATATGGGCTGATGACTCTTCACTATCTTCATTGTTTCAGTAATGCATCTGTATCTATATATGTTATGTACTGTCATTAGTTCCTTAGATTGGAAAATAGGTTTTGTTGATTCTCTAGAGTGGAATTCTGCCCCAAGTATTTGGCAGCGATGTGGCCTTGCTTGTTTATCACCAGTCTTCCTCAAGCTGATACATATAGAACACGGTTTAATGTGAGGTATAGTTGATTCATTGGATATTTTACCTTTCTTGTTTATACTGCACTGGATTGGCCTGCTACGAGAACAAGTTTTAAACTTGTCGCTAAATGCTTCCGAGTCCCCAAATAAGATTCGGACACATTTCTTCTGTGCAAGGAATAGTGGTGAAAGCTTATTAATTGATACACCACCCCATACAGTTATACCGTATCCTAGATGAGATTCAAAAAGAGTGTGGTATATCTGTTTGTACAGCTGGCTGGGGAGGGAGTTTTTTATTCGATAAATACGGCCACATATGCTGTTTAATTTCTTAGTTAGTTTCTCGATATGAGGTGTCCAACTCAGTTTGTCATCAATAATTACACCTAGAAATTTCGTTTCAGTAACCTGTTTGATCGGGATCCCATCAATTTCTAGATTCAAGTCATTTTCAGTATTATCAATGGTCTTACGTTTAGTAGGCGAGAAGTACATGTAACAAGATTTTTTAACATTAATGTGCAGTAGGTTATGGCGCATATATTGGCACACAGAGTCGAGAATTTCATTCGCTATTTTGTATGCTTTTTCCTTAGTTTCAGCAGCTACAAAGATGTTTGTGTCATCTGCAAATAGTACAAATTTTCCTAATGTACTACATCTATAGATGTCATTTATATAGATAAGAAAAAGCAAGGGGCCCAAAACGGATCCTTGAGGTACGCCTAGTTTAACTGGGAGAGGCTCTGATTCTTCACCAAGTACACTAACATACTGGTATCTATTATTTAGATAGCTGGAGAGCAGCTTTAGTGCGTTTCCTCTAACTCCGTAATTACTAAGTTTCTTAAGTGGCATATCAAATGGTAAGGTATCAAATGCTTTAGAGAGATCGATAAATATTCCTAATACGTGGTTTTTATTATTCCGTTTTTCTTCGACGTGATTTACGGAGTAGTTAAGAGCATGACTTGTCGAGTGGTTTTTTCTAAAGCCGAACTGATTTTCGAATATTATTCCTCGAGATAAGAAAAAGTTGTATAATCTACTGTAAATAATTTTTTTCAAATATTTTACCAAATACTGGTAATGTTGATACTGGCCTGTAATTCTCTAGTAATTCCTCATCTTCTTTTTTATATATCGGGGTTATCTTACCCGTTTTCAGTTGATCAGGGAAGACACCTTCATTCATGCAGTTGTTATAAATTCTGGCAAGATGTTCTGATATAGTTTGACTACACTGCTTCATTACATGTGCCGGTATGTCGCTAGCTTTACCGTTATTAAATTCACTTATAATTTGTATTATTTCAGAGCTTGTACATTCAGTAAGATAAATACTTGACGGACAGGACTGTGGCAAGTAGTCAGTGAATGATTTAGCAATTATAGGATCTTCATCAATCCTCCTCTCATAGACCTCGTTCAGATTGGAGGCGATTGACACAAAGTACTTGTTAAATTCATGAGCAATAACTCGTCGACAAATAACACGCTCATTGTTTATCATGAATGACGGTTTCATTTGCTTATTTTGCTTTCCTCGCACTTTATTAATTAACTGCCAGGTTTTTTTACTGTCACCCTGACACTCCTCAATTTTGTTGCACGTGTAGAGGCGTTGAGCTAGTCTTATTACGTGTTTAACTCTCCTACGTTTGTCAGTAAAATTAGCATGCTTTTCCCTGGCATCATTACAAGGATTGCAGTGACAGGCTTCCTTGATCTCACGACAAAGTTTACCTGGATTATGCAAACATTTTTCTCTCTTCGCTTTATGCCAGTGGTCGTGCAGCTCATGTTTTTTATTTATAGACTCGATTAATCCTCCTGTTATCCACGGATTTGTCATTGGCGTTCTTTTGGAGACTTTAGGTTTACTGAGTTTACATGATTTGTCTAGATTCGTTTTGAATGTGTCGTGAAATTCAATAAAGTTTTTTGGTGGGTGCTCAGAGAAATGTTGGTTTAAGGATGAAACAAGGACTCGAACGTTGGATTCACTGTAATCATAATATTGGGTATGTTTAACTTGAGGTTCAGAGTTAGTTACAGCTAGGTCTTCAAAAATATGAAAAACTGGCAGATGATGCGAGATTCTGTCAGATACTGTACCTGAGGCAACAACCTTGTTTATATCATTTGTGTAAATGTTGTCAATACACGTTTGATTACATCCGGCTTCTCGTGCGTGTGTGTTGATATAAGAGGCGAGAAACCGGCACTAAACATTATCTCCTCGAGATTGCTAACTTCTTTACTATTAACATGGAGGTTGACGTTAAAATCTCCCATTATATACGCAGATTTTTTAGGCAATATCTGGAGTATTCTAGATAGTTCTGTCAGGAAGCTTGCAAAATTACCGCTGGGTGGTCGGTAAATAACCCCAAAAGTTACTTCTTCTGAGTTTTTACGACTAGTTACGAATAGTGATTCTAAATTCTCGGTAACGTCTGACGCAAGTTCGTTCACAATACTGCTAAGTCTATCTTGAACATATAATGCTACACCAGTTCCTTTGGATTTATTACCTACAGTATTCTGGTAAAAACTATTGTAGTTAGGAATTGAATACACGGTGCTTTCATCAGGACCTATGTTAGTTTCTGATAAACCTATTACGGTGAAGTTTTGGTTAATGCGGTGCAGTTCAGTTAATAGACTATCAAAATTGCTTTTATTGCCATCAATGTTAAGAAAGTAGGAGCTGGAAAACTTTTTAAGATTTTCTCCATGCGATGAGTTGATTTCATTAGCAGAATAAGCTTGGCATTTGTCTAAGATTGAGGATATTTTATATGTTTCGTCATGTGCATCTGGTGAGGTTGTGTCATCTACAAAGTGTTTGAAGGGATTATACTTGTGTACTATTTTATCTTTGCACGAAAAGCAGTAGAAGTTGTCATTAATAATTTGTGCTTTTGATTGCGAAAAACACTTTGAGTGGGCAATACAATTACATCTACTGCACTCAAACATCGGCTGACCTATGTAAACGTTTTTCAGGCAATGGTTACAGTTTTCTCTCAAAATTTTGTTGATCATACCTGACGACCATCAGTTCGAAACCCACTGACTGCCTGGTCGTGGGGTGAGCGTCGTCGACGTTCAGCTAAGGATCATGAGTGGTCTATGCAGCCCCCCGGTCTACTCAGCCGAATACTCGAGAAATCGGGTGTGAGGGTTAAATGAGGAGCTGCACATTGCAGCAAAGTCTCGGACGAAGAAAGTATGGTACACACTACCTTAACCGTCACTGGCCAAAAAGATCCTTCGGCTTCCTGTAATTGGCTGGTTGCACTTGTGTAACATTGTGGCTGTTGGAATACACCGAAGTAAAATAAGTGTCTAGATAAAAAAAAAAAAATGACTTGTTCAATTTGTGCATTCAACAGTAATAATGATTTAGATGCATTTATCACACACTTCTAAACTATATTTCAGACTGAGAAAACTAAAAGAAATCATCTGGAAAAGCTCCATTTGAAAACAAGCATGCAGTGCCAAATGTTTGCGTCAGAAAATTCCTTCATGAAGAAAACGATTATGGAATTGGAAAACAGATTAAAAGTGAGTGTATTATTTGTCACTTTAAAATTTTGTTTCATACCAATTCAAAGTTTCTCCACAATGAATGATTGTCACGGCTTTATCCATTTTGTATTTCGATAATGAATTGTTTCAAGTTGATAACACTTTGATACATGATTTTCCACAGGCAAGTGAGCACATGCGTTCAACTATCTCAGCTATATCTGGACATGGCTGCTACTCATTCTCCAAATCTGTATTCGCCTCAGCTGAGAAGAAAGCACATATTTTTCATTCCGATCCTTTTTCTGGCTTGATTGCTGTGTCAAAAAAATTTGAAGATACTTTGAATCAATATGGTGTGTTAAAGATTAGCTCTATCGATTCTTGTCATCATGAATTTGTTGGTCTTCATTTGAATCAGATAAGGGATGTTGCTTTTGATCCTCATGGGAACACCACATTGCTATCCTGTAGTAAGAACAAAGATATTAAACTCACTTGTATGAAATCAAACAATACAGTAATAACATATCAGGCTACCAAGGACTGCTGGAGTTGTAGCTGGAGCCTTGCTAATAGTTACCATATTTACTGTGGACTTCAAAACGGTGAAGTGATGATGTTTGATATAAGAAATACAAAGGAGGTCATTGAAAGCATATGCCCTACGAATGGTCCCCAAAAGTGTCCCATTGTATCGGTTGTCTCTATTCCATCACCAGCTGAAAACGGTAAAGAGGGTCTTTTGGTTTCCACCTTACAGTGTATAACATATTATAAAAGGGACACAAAAAACAAGTTTGTTGGTGATCTCCTGGAGACTCCAACAGGTGCTCTCTCCTCTGTCTCCTTTGAACATGACAGGTCTCAGATCTTAGCATCTTATAAACCAAATACAAAGTATCCTAAAGAACGTCATATACTGATGAACCTCAGTTTTGAGGAGAAAACAGTAGCAAATGTAGTTAGTACATTTGAAGGAGGGACCAATCAGCACCTGAGATCACGGTCTTGCTTGATAAAATGCCCTGATAATGACAATCATCTGCTTGTTTGTGCAGGGGATCAATCTACCAACACTGTGAGAATCTGGAGCACTACGGACATGCAGCAGCTGCAAAGTTGGGATTGCAGAAAAGAAGACGGGCCTATAATTGCAATGGGTCCTCACCGAGCAGCTGGAGTCAACTTCATCTGTGCTTTGACCAATCAGCGATTGAATCAGTACAAGTGGCTTTACTCTAAGTCTCACTTTTCAGAGGCATCACAAGCATTTTCGACATGAAAAACAAGTTGTATGTTACCAATTCCAATATAAATATGGGATACATTTAAAACATCCTGGAAATACTCAGGACCATCATTTTAATGTATTGATTTTACTTAACAGCAACAAATAGGGTATTGAAATGGTACAATTTTAACCTGTGGCAATCATTATCCTGTCATAGTGCGTTATTATTACATTTCCACACTTCACAGTACCAGTATTGCTTAAAATACTGATTTTTATTATGAATATTATTATGCTTTAAAGTTTCGTTCACAGGTGAGTAAAATAAAACGGAAATGTCAATCTTTGATCAGTTAAACAATAAACATTGGGAACATTAGCTTTGATTTCATTGCTAAATTCACTTTTTACTGCTTTGATCTGTCAAATACTAAAATGTTGTATAAAATATCAATGTAAATCATTCAATGTATCGAAGCTCGATAATCTGCTCAAACTTACAAATAGGTTTTGTTATATCATTGAAAACATGATTTGAAATTCTAAATAAACTATAGTTGACAAATTTAAAAGATTCCTAATTCTTTCATCACTACCAGGAAAGTCCTAATTGTAATAAGAAAGGTGAATGTATGTTGGGCCGCTATCTCAGAAACTGCTGTTTCAGGAACACTGAGACGTTCATCAAACAACTACTTCGATACAATACCTCCAGAAGTGCCCAAAGAGCGGAAACTTCTCTCATTGACTATCTCGAGTTAGAAGTCAGAGGTGGTAGGGGTGGTGGGGGATGTGCCAGTATCCAGAAAATACAAAGGAATAAACAAAAACCAGATGGAGCTGATGGGGGAGATGGAGGTTCGGTTCTTTTCAGAACATCTAAAAGTAGATTAGATTTCAGTCACATCCCATCAGAAATTGTTGGCCGTTCTGGAGGAGCAGGAGTAGGGAAAAATAAGACAGGGGTGAGGGGTAGTGAACTTATCGTTACCATTCCTGTTGGTTCCATAGTTGGTTGCCAGCTATCACAGAAGCCTTTGGTTGAACTTGATTCGGAAGAGGAATTGTTTTTGGCTGCTAGAGGTGGCAAGGGAGGTCGGGGGAATCTATCAATTTCTGGTCAGTTGTCTTTCGGCCGAGATAGGTATGGCTGCAAAGAGAAGGAAGAGGGAGAAGAGGGACAATTATCTTCAATTTATTTAGAAATGAAAACAATCGCCGATATTGGACTGGTTGGTCTTCCAAATGCAGGAAAGTCTTCTCTTCTCAGATCTATTTCTGGGGCTCAACCGAAGATTGCATCATACCCTTTTACTACGTTAAGACCACATGTTGGAGTAATTCATTATGATGGTTACTATCGGGTTAGGATGGCTGACATTCCTGGTCTAATCGAGGGAAGCAGCTTGGGGCGTGGACTGGGCTATTCCTTTTTAAGACACATAGAGCGTTGCAAGAGTTTGCTTTATGTAGTCGATATGTCAAATATGGAGTGTGAACCCATTGAAACGATCAGAGTATTAGAAAAGGAACTTGAAGCATACAAACCTGGGATGACTGAGAACATAGTTGGTATCGTTGCCAATAAAATAGACCTCTTACAAGGACCCCAAACTATTGTTCAGTTAGCCAGGGCTTTTCCTAAGTATCCTGTCATGCCTATTTCAGCTTTAGAACAGAGGAATGTAGTAGCTGTGCGAAATGTTTTGGAGCCTTTCAAGTATGTATTTGTACATAAGTCAAATGAAAAAGAAGTGTACTCATGATCAATGATTATTTTCATACTATTACTGATTTTCATCCAAATTTCATATTTCATCGAAAACGTTGAACAGGGACTAAAAATGTTTGGTATTGTGATTTAATTTATTATTTTATCAATGACATCGTCACAACAAAGCGTAGAATGTTATTCAATTTGATCACTTGATACTAATTCATTGAATAGTTCATCAACTTATTGATTTTCAAAAGTGTGGAAAATGTATTCCATACAGATTCTTAACTCCATTCAATTGTTTCCATCGAGAACTAAATTAATTTTAATGCGTCTTGCCTTCATTTTGCCTTCAGCATCGCTTTAAAATTTTGTCATATCGTATGTTTAAACAATGTATTTTGTATTCAGGTATGTCAACTCGCAGCTCGGCCAGAAATAGAAATAAGCCCAAAGTAGATTACAATGACGATCCGACTGTTACCACTGATAAACCAGTGAGAAAGACCCGTGGGAAAAAAGCACCAAAAGCTGCTGATGATGACGACGATGAGAACGACAACAATGTGAGTAATACCGTCCCTACCAGGAAACCTCGAGGCAGAAAAGCTGCCAACAAAGCTGCAGCCACAACTAATGACAGTGATGACGACGATACCAAACCAGTCAAGCCTACTCGTGGAAAGAGGAAAGCCAAAGCTCCAACCCCCATTCCTGAAGACGAGGAGATGGAAACCAAGAAAAAGAAGATTGAAGAAAAAATAGACACAAAGATAAAAGAGGAGAAAGGTGGAAAAATTATCGTTCCAGTTGACTCACAGTGCCCAAGGAGCTCAGTATCTACAGTTTTTTGTGACTCTGATGGTCCTTGGGATGCTATGCTCAACCAGACGAATGTTGGTTCGAACAATAACAAATATTATTTACTTCAGTTATTGAAAAATACCCACCAAAATTCATACAATACTTGGTTCCGATGGGGCAGGATTGGTTACAGCAATGGCCATCAGAATAAACTCACTTCGTTTAGCAATCTTGAAGCTGCCAAGAGTGATTTCATGAAAAAATTTTCGGATAAGACGAAAAATGTTTGGCCCTGTGAGTTTGAAGACTTTGAGAAGTACCCTAACAAGTATGATCTGATTAAGCTCGACTATGCTGTAAAGGAAGAGGAGGTTGAAGTTGACGGTGCCCCTGTTAAACAAGAGCCAGTTGAGAGCAAGTTAGACCCCCGACTCTTGTCCATGATGGAACTCATCTCCAATGTCAAGGCGATGGAACAGGCAGTCATGGAGATGAACTATGACGTCAAAAAGTCACCTCTAGGTAAACTTTCAAAGGAACAGATTAAATCAGGATACGAAGCTTTGACCATTATTGAGGAGTGTATTAAAGCAGATCAGTCGAGCAGTAAGAAAGCAAAGGATGCATGCAGTATGTTCTACACCAGAATACCTCACAATTTCGGCTTTACCACTCCTCCTCTGATACGGACTCTCGAGGAAGTAAAGATTAAAATCGAGCTTCTGGATACACTAATCGATATAGAGGCTGCAGTTAAGGCTATCAAGGAGGGCACAAAGGACACTGTTCACAAGACAGATTCCTTCTACCAGAACTTGAAGATAGAGATGAAACCTCTTGAGAGGGATAGTGATCTGTTCCAGATGTTATCCACATATCTCCACAATACCCATGGTAAAACCCATCTTCACTACACAATGGAAGTAGAGGATATTTTCGAGCTAAACAAGGAGGGAGAGGAGGAACGGTACAAAGACCTGGGAAACAAGCAGCTACTTTGGCACGGGTCCAGACTAGCTAATTGGGGCGGTATATTCAGTCAGGGTCTGAGGATTGCCCCTCCTGAGGCCCCGGTTACAGGATACATGTTTGGTAAAGGTGTGTACTTTGCTGACATGGCCTCTAAGAGCGCAAACTACTGCTTCACCTCCCACAACCAACCCACTGGTATTCTCCTTCTAGCTGAGGTGTCTCTTGGTGAGGAACGTGAGCTGTTAGGCTCGGATTATCATGCGGATAAACTTCCTGCCGGGAAACACTCCACTAAGGGTGTTGGACTGAACGCGCCAGATCCCGCCCAGACCAAGTCTCTAGGTGATGTGAAGGTTCCTCTGGGAACTGGAGTCAACACAGGGGTAACCAATCCTGGTGGTTACACCTTGCAGTACAATGAGTTTATTGTGTATGATGTCGCTCAGGTAAAGATGAAGTATGCTTTGAGAGTGAAGTTCAATTACAAGCGATAGGAGAGAACAATTTGAAGGCTGAAAATCGAGTTTAGTGAAGTGTTGTGAAAAATACCCGGTTTATTGTATGGAAATTAATTGTATCATCTATTCTTTTTAATATGTAAAAGCAGATTTTATCACTCCTACTTTTAATGATCAAAAATATTATGTACCGTAGAACGGCAGAATTATTTAACAACTAAAACTTTTAAAGTTGTTTTACTATATTTATCTTACCTAGCTGCATGTTTTTAGTTTTGATTGTTTTGTAACGCTATTTAATAAATCGCTAAGTTATTGACCATATTGCCGTTTTATTGCAATACTGTCTCCTTAGATGATATTTAATTTTAACTCAAAAGCTGTATAGTAAGAAACAAGTGGTAAACTATAAGTGTAGTTGAAATAACAACATGCAAAACTGTACTTATTGGAAAAACTCTGAAAAATTGAAGCGTATTTCTAGGTTTGTAGCTCTAGTCTTAACCTCTCAACCTATGTATGGTGTTTATTGCTCAGCTATGTGCAGTATTGTAATGATATGATGTTAACTTTAACCACTTAACCTTACCATTTTAGATTGAATGTTCTGAAGAAGATCATCTTGTTATGATGTAAGTAAGACACACACACACACACACACACACTCACACACACTTACACATACTCACGGACACTCACACTCACTCTCACACACACACACACACTCACACATACTCACAGATATTCACACTCACAGACACTCACTCTCACTCTCACTCTCACTCTCACACACACACACACACATACTCATAGACACTCACTTTCACTCTCACTCTCACTCTCACACTCACACACTCACAGACACTCACTCTCATCAGATAAACTTTATCCACTGCACTGTTTTTAGGCGTGGTAATTATAATACTTGTTATATTTTAATACTTTAGGGTATGTAACGTGTAAAGCAACTTTCTGGCTATACGTGTAACTAGAAACAAACCACATTTAACTGCAAAGCTCACTTTACCTCTAAAGATAATTTACTATTTAAGATTGAAAAGGTTTACTCAGTTTCGTGACCATGGAGTCAAAACAGGAGCCTATTTCAAAATTACACTTGTTATGTGCGCCACTTAGGGCTCAATTGGCTAAGTCTGCATGAAGTTTGTATACAGTAAGTCTCCATACTACTAGCTCAATTTATTGATCCAAATTAGAGTCAAATATTCCATGTGCTCTCATTATCATCAATCATTAATACTGTAGTTGACGTACTCGTTAATATTAGGTTGTCAGCCACTTCATCTAGTTTTAGTGGGGCGAGAATTTGTTCTCAAAAATTCTCAAAAATTTGTATGGTGCCGCGCAATTTGAGTCGGTATTCAGATGCTGTATCAATTCGGGGAGGATGCGTTTGCTGTTAGTTGGAAACCCCTATCAAGATTCTAAAATAAGTGCGATGAGATTGGATTTTGAGACTAAAAGTGCGATTTTCACGTGTCACGTGCAGTGGCGAAATGTACTTCCCCCACCCCCCCCCCCCCTACAAGATTTCTTGACCCACCAATTATTCTCTATTTAAAAAGATTTCAGATTTCGCGAGTCCCTTTGTGAGCGAAATTGTAAATATGTCGCTTTATGTCGCTCGAAAATTTACGTGCGTATTTTTATGAAGTATATAGAGTTACACATTGAAAATCTGATATGCCCATTGTAGCACAATGGTTTAGAGCGCGATCGCTTAGCAGTTGACTCCGGTTCGAACCTCGTCGACGGTCATTTTTTTGGCAATTATTAATTATTTTACTAAAATTATCATCAGAGCACCTTGTAATATACTTTATCCGATAAATTATACTGTTCGTACTTCAGCTAGAGAAGACTGGCATTTAAGGATTTGTCCGGGGAAGGCCTCGTTCGGGGTAGAACATGTTCGCACTAGAACATGTCAATTGTCAAATTATGGTAAACGGATTTATCTGGTAATGTTTGTTTTGTTTTAAGGCTAGAATTTAGAATGGAATCAATGTGATGAGGATCCAGAGTTAATTACCTGTTAGGATTAATAAGTCAGTTCTACAGTTAAAAATACCCTTTTTCAAACTTTTAATGAAGAAATATTCACTATGCCTAATAGGCATTGCCTATGGCAGTATTAAGAATACTCTGAGAAAGATTGATTCGACTTTAGCCAGGAACAGTACCTTGAGATTTCGACCATTACCAGACCTCCTTTAATGGTAACCATGGTAACTATAGTAACCACTGTTAATCTTGATCTTATAAACCGATTAATATCGACAACAACTAGTATCCTTTAAGACTTAGACAGTACAGAAAAGTAAGCCGTCAGAGTAACACAACCAGTAATAATTCAAAACAATCAATACCAAAAGGACAATGACCATAAAAAGTCGGCTTGATGATAAAGACGAAGGGACCAGCAAGATGAGGAATATTATTATGAAAATGTAAGCGCGCGACCGGATATGTAGTGCTGAAAGAGGGTGCCGAAATCTCGTGGTTAAACTCGCGATATTGGGGTGAGATTTATACTAAACTCGTCAAAATCTCGCACTAATTGCGCGCGGCAAAGTTGTTATACTTTAACCACGTGATCTCACACCGCACTAAGTTCCGAATTTACAATGTCTTAAGCAAATTTTTGTGTCGCTTAAATCTTTTAAATTACATTTTTCTATTTTCTCACACATTCTTTTGTTAATTTTTTTCTATGTTTATTTTAAGATTTTTTGCGATGAGCCTGTCTCGCAATCTCACATGAATCTTGACCTGGGGTTGGAAAAACTTTCATAGGTTTCGTCACCTTTTCAACTAATATTATGGGAACTTCTCACAGACCTAATATAACTGATCAAGTCGTATGTCGCATGTATAATCGTAATTTAATTTTGGATGGAGGTTGAGTGAGCCTTGTTGAGGTTTGTTGTTTGTTTCTAGCTACACGGATAGCCACAACTATACTCTGTACAAGTTACAAACTTTAAAATAATATTACAGATGTAATTATAATATTGACTGCGCCTACAAAAGGTAGCGAATGTTGCGATATTTTCAAATTGTGCATGAATACCTGCTCCTGAATACCGGCTCGCGCCAGGTCATCTCAGAACTACTAACCATGCTCTTTCAGACGTATAATTGACGAGGAGCTGAGAGAAGCTTGTGCTACCGGAGATGAAGCTAAAGCGCAGATATTGATCGGGCAGGGAGCTAATGTTAACTCTAGTAACAAGGTTAACGGATGGACTGCTCTTCATTGGGCAGCTTATCGGGGTCACAGGTATATTGTCCAATACTTTATCTTCCAGACTTTCTAATCAAAATTATCAAGAATTCTCAAAGAAAGCGAACGTTAAAATTTGAAAATTTAAACCCTTTCAAGATTTTACGTCTTAAAATCCTTGACGTCAATGTTACTATTGATGCGTTATCTGTTTTTCTTTAAAGAGCTATTTTTTGCTATATTTTGCTATATTTTGCTATATTTTTGCTATATTTTGCTATATTTTGCTATATTTTGCTATATTTTGTTGATTGTTTATGTACCATTTCTCTCCCAGGGGTCTGGTAATGTTCCTGCTGAACAAGGGAGCTGACCCCACTGTTCAGAACGTTAAAGGAGAGACTGTAATGTCGCTGCTTGCTAATTACAGCCTGGATCTACTCGAGGGAAATGAAGGTTTACCTGAGCTATGTATTTTAGGGTTTTAGAAATGGAAAATGTTGAACAAAACAATGTCGAACAAAATGAATACTCCCAAAAATAAATACCATTATATAATACAAATCTCACCATTCCAGTTGAAGAAGGAAAGCAGTACCCTCTGCCCACTCAACAAGAAACTCTCAGCTCCCTCCCCATCATGCCCAACTACATCAGGAACCCCATGTTCCCTTACAACACCAAAAAAGACACCCACAGCATGATGACCCCAGTACCAGTCACCTCTCACCCTCCCCCGGGCCTACCTAAAGGAGCTCCCTCGGTCCTTCCAGCTCCAGTACCCCAACCTCCCAGACCCGTGTTGGTGCAGGTACCCCCACCCCAGGGCACTGGAGGGAGGAGTAACAGTGCTAGTCCTCAACTACCCTCCGCAAGCAAACCCTCTAAACAGGAGCAGCAGGAGGTGGAGGCAGACAGTAAACAAGGTATATGAGCTGGATTTCCTTCTTATTATCTTGTATAATACTATTTATTATCTCACAAGCTGTACAAAGTAGTTTAAGGTCATGATGTCCGGGATACAGTTGCGAGTAAAGATCGAATTAAGCATCATGTGAATAATATCTCCTGGCGCTAGATTCTGATTTTAGTGAAAATGACGAGTTGTAAATCCCATAATATTAGACGACCCTCGTGCCAAAACACAAGATGAAGATTATAACAATATGAAATGGAGACGGGTGAATCAGACCTGGGTCGCACTACTCCTCCTCAAAAGAGACAGTCTCGTGTTGACTGCTCTCAGAGCGGAATAGCGCTTTACTCTTAATTAGCAGTCAATTGCAGTGGAACTCTACGGAAACTGCAGCGAAACTGCACCCAGCAAAACTATTATAATTATTGATCTGTGTTTTGAACCGATATGACTAGGGATGGTGTGTTGGTATCGTCTAGCGAATAATATCTTGTTGTGCTTATAACATGTCGCGTGTATCGAGCTATTCTGTGTGTGCTGCACCCGATTTTAGATGCAATTAACCGGCGAGAAATTCTCCCTTTTACCCCGGTTCTAATTGCTGTGAAGAATGTTAATATCATAATTCATAAGGAGGGTTACGTCTATAGCTAAATCAATCATTTTATTACCATTCCGCTATGACTTGTAAATATTATAAGCAACTAGGATATCGCGGTGTTAGACGTTAAACCTTGTTTTGTCGTTCCGTAGCAAGCTACAAAATCCAATAATCATGTAATTAATGAAATAAAATGCCATATTTGGCGCGGGAAACAGGAAGCTGATTGGGTGTTCCAGCACCTTGTGTTCTTGTTAAGGACTTGTTTGTGCTAGATAATATAGTGCATTAGTCCCCCTGATCTGTATCGAGAGATATAGCTTGTTAGATTGTTTGTTTTAGTGTTTTTTATTGCACAGCTCCGTTAGTTTTCCTGATCTCACGTTTCGTTTGTGTGCGGTGTAATATTTTGGGCTGAGTGTGTGATGAGCGAGGATGGGTTATGCGAGGAGACCTCTGCTAAACGTAGGAAACTTAGCAATTCCTCCGATACTGAACACCCCCAATTCTCCAACAATGACCTGCAATCTGAACTGGAAACTAGTATTGAAGTGACTTCATTAGAAGAAGAAAATGAAGAGGAGCAGAACGAAAATGAGTCTGAAAAAGAAGAGCAGATTGTTAACGAACACAAGTTTAAAAAAGAGGAGCATATTGTTCACGAAAATGATTCCGAAAAAGACGAGCAGATTCAGATTATTAACGAACATGAGTCTGATTCTGAAGTTGATTTGTTAGAGGAAGATTCGGGTATAGACCATGATATTGCGAGAGAGCAGGAGGACACCACCTGTACTGCTGAAACAGAGAAGAGACAGCTACAGGAGACTGACAAGGAAGTATCGAGTAACAACATTACTAACCTGTCGTCCCTAACTGGGGTGACTGAACAACACTTTGGTGCTCTTACTGATCTACAGCAGGACCTACAGAAACTCATCGCATCTGATAACGGTGATAGTACAGCGAGCATGATGAAGATCAAGCAAGAATTATTCAGTCCTGACGAGCTATCCCCGACATCAATGATGAACTCTGAGAACTTTGATCCTAGCCGGATACAACTTGCTGCTGAATCGTTTCGTAACATCTGCATGACACTTGCACGTGCAAAACACCTCAACGAGACGCGGGAGATAAAAATGGATCTATCTAACAAAGAGCTATGGGAGAAGTTCCACTTAGTAGGTAACGAGATGATCATAACTAGATCCGGTAGACGGCTCTTCCCCAAACTCTCCTGCTCTGTAACCGGACTAAAACCCTCCGCACAGTACGTGCTATTAGTGGACATAGTACCAGCGGATAACAGGAGATACAGGTACTGCAGCCAGCAGGAGAAGTGGGTTGGAGCAGGTCACGCCCGACATGACCCTCCTAAACAAGTGTACATCCACCCAGCCTCCCCACAGACAGGAGAACACTGGATGGACGGGGAGATTAGCTTCCACAAACTCAAAGTACAGACCAGCAACTTCTACGAGGAGTACAGCGGGCACACGGTACTGAACTCACAGCACCGGTACCAGCCCCGTGTTCATGTGGTACAGTGTAATGATATATACCGGGTACCTCAGTGCCCCTTCAAAACCTTCATTTTCCCTGAGACAGCTTTCTTCGCAGTCACCACTTACCAGAGCACTAATATAACGGAGATGAAGATTGCTAACAACCCCTTTGCTAAAGGGTTCAGGGCCCCAGGGACTGCTACTCAAGCAGCAGGTGACCGACACGAAGCTAAGGGGACGGAGAATATTGTGATAGAGTTGGACTCGTATGGTGCACCGCCTTTTCTAGCTGCGGGGGGAGCTATAAAACACACGGCGTGCGGGAAATCTCCCAAAACAGAAAGTAAGTTTGGTGAATGTGGGAAATCTACTAAAACAGGGCGTAAGTTTAGTGACTCACTTGCCTAGTGATGAAGTGCTGGTTACCAGTTACCAGTTACCAGTTACCAGTTACCAGTTACCAGTTACCAGTTACCAGTTACCAGTTACCAGTTACCAGTATGATCAGAGACTAGTTTTCACATGCATGTCTCTGAAGAAGCTGGTTGAGATCTATGTTTTATCGTTAATCATTAAACCTGACTAGCTAACATATTGTTAACTAAATAATAAATATGAGTTGTACTAGATGTGCTTGAGTTTATTCAAATTTATCGGAAACACTTGCAAACTTAATTAGTTTAACCCTGACAGCGTTTTATTTATTGTAACGATATCAAATATCAAAGTCGACAGACACCTAAATACATTGTAACCTCTACTATTGTTTCAGGTGGTCTAGCACCCTCAATGCTATCATCAGCAGCAAAGCCTGGTTCAAGATACCAACAGCCTCACTCCAAACCCAACCCTAACTGGGTCTACTCTGGTTCTAGTCACAGACCTACTCTCATCACTGCTCAGGTAAACCACGCTTCAATTTACCGAGCTTGTAAACAGTTCATTTTTGCGAATAATGTGTCATCTGCATTTTATTTGTATTGAAAAAGTTCACACACACGCAGCACCCAAATTTGGTCTCTGTTCCATTTATTACCCATTATTACCCATTATTACCCATTATTACCCATTATTACCCATTATTACCCATTATTACCCATTATTTTGTCCAACACAGCTCCACCAGCAAATTAGTGAACCTAGTCTGCGGATACGGTCTAGTCTAATATGTGACCCTGCTAATCTAGTCTGATGTGACCTGCTAATCTTTAGATGGTCCTATTAACTCCGCCCTATTGAACTATTATCACAGCCGCTTGTTAAGTATTTGGAGTAGATATAGAGATGTGGAAGTCGATCACGTGAAATTTCGCTTCTCTTCATCTTCCGGTGACTGGTGATCAATTCTGAGATTGTCTTGGGGGGGGGGGGTGGGGGGGCATTCTCTGATCAACTATGTGTTCTTGGCTGTTGATAAACAGCAAGAGCAAATCAACATGTTTGTGGCTGAGACATAGTCTGGATAAGATATTTTATTAAACTGATTAACTACTCTGCTGATCTTAATCTCCCACTTCTCCTTCAGCCACTCTTCCAGAACCAAATGAGATTGGAGGGAATATCCAGATGAAGTTGAATGAATCATGTTCCGGGGCACCCACAAATGGTGTCCGGTCCTCACAGGTAACATTTCAAACTTCCTCGTTTTGGGTTACATCTCATACCTATAAATAGGTACAACGTGTTATTAATAAATTTAAAGAATTCCTAATTTGTTTCGTCCATTCACAAACTTTCCCTCCAGAGAGTATAAATAGGACCTACCTATGCTATATTAAAGAGCTGATAAAGTTCCTGATAATTCCACTACAGCTATCAGTCTCGGATTGATTAGTCATATTATTTACAGTAATTGTGAATTAAAAGAAATGTCTATAATTATAAGATTTTGTCGAATAGTTTTGAGGGTCGATCTGTAAGACATTACGAGCGATTCACACGAATCTCGCAGTTAGTTAAACAAATTACCATCTTTTGTTTTCTGATAATAATGTTGTCCTGGATCCTATGTAATATCACCGTGTTTACTTACTCGTTATAATGTAAAATGTAGAGTAAGCATTGAAGTTATAACGTTACATGCGTTGGTCTCTAGAAAAAGAGAAAAAACCTCTACATTTTCGCAGGGTAAAGTTGGAGTAATTTGTTAGCACATCATTTAATTAATTAATCCACGATTTAGTAGTAATCTTTTCCTTTTGTAATTGATATTGCTTGGAGTGATTAACCTTAATGTTTTAAATTTTAAAATGAAGATAGGTAGGTTCATCCATATTCAAGCCTATAGTTGGTTCGTGCGTTACTTTTCCAGGGAATTAGTAGCGTTTAGTCGTGAAGTTTTTTTCGTGCATTTAAGTGCGGTAAAGTGCGTTCACGTGCGTCTGCCATTACATTACGAAGGTTTACGAATTAAAAAATGACAAAAATTTCTTCTTCCTGCATCTTACTAAGGTAGTGTAAACGAGAAACTACCACGTGCAGCTGCACCAGTCGATTTTCAGATGCACTGATATTGGCGCAGATTACTGTGGATTATATACAAGTTTCTCCACTTTTTTTCCAGTGCCACGCACTGTTTTGTTAAAAAGTGCGATTTAAAAATATGTTGTGCGTTAAAGTGCGTTCGGTTTAAAAGGGCTTTAGTGGCACGAACAACTATGATCAAGTTGATCTCAGTTCACGTGATATTCAAGCTGACTCTCAGTCACGTGATATTCAAGCTGTCTCTCAGTCACGTGATATTCAAGCTGACTCTCAGTCACGTGATATTCAAGATTGCAGATTCCCATTTAGTTAACAGCCCCCATCTCCACAGGTACCCAGTATCAAGTATGCCAGTGTCGTCCGAGTACCCTATACAGAGGATAATGAGGCCGGTGTACGGGGCAACCCCAGCAGGGGCCGGAGCAGTGCCCGTCCAAATGAGCGGCGTGCCATCTGGGAACTTGGTTCATTGGGGGTACAACAGCCAACCCCACTACCGGCCACAAGCAGGTATGTGTTGTTGCAATGTTAGGTGGAGCGCGAGTGGGGGGGGGGGGGGGGGGGAGGGGTTCTGCTGTTGTAACGTTCGTCGCGATCATGAAGCGATGTCAAAACTCAGAGTGTACACAAAATTTGCGATGGATTTATGTATTTTACTCCTGCAGCGCTTCTCATTCGTTTGACTAGGAGTTAATTGAGCTGTTTTCCTAGTGGTGTCCTCACAAATTAGCTTTTGAAATAACCTCTTCTTTGTAATATAAATATCTTAAACTTGACGAAATTAAAAAAAACTTTTCATTTCGTAAAATTGGATCCAAAACTAAATGTTTTGTCGTACTTTGCTTGTTCCCTGAAATGTAGCCGGATACGTTATTATATTTTACAAATTATTATAAGGGTTCAGTAAAACCTTATGATATGAAACCTATTTTCATGGTCTTTGTGGACACGCTCATTAATTGACTACGGGTTTGCTTACTATAGACCACGTGACAATATCAAGACCACGTGACAATATCAAGACCACGTGACAATATCAAGACCACGTGACAATATCATGACCACGTGACAATATCATAACCACGTGACAATATCATAAATTAACCACGTGACAATATCATGACACGTGACAATATCATGACCACGTCAGAGTTTGAGAATGGGTTTGCTCTTAGCTGTAATTATCCCTGCTTGCTGATACAGCTGGGTTACACAAACAACAGTAAATATTATATCATTACACTGGGAAAGCTCTTTTAAAGGCGGCTGCTCCTTTTATCACTATCATGCACATTGTTGTTATTCCTGGTATGATGCTATTTCCATTATTTCTCCTTAAACTATTATAATATATATATAACTATATATCCGTTCTCATATTTCACGACCTACCTTCTATTCCCATTTACATAGTTCACAATTTGTTTCGTCGCATTATCATGCATATTCACTTGTATCATCATCTCATCATTCTTCCTTGATACGGCAAATATTAACTTCCCAACCGCAAGTGCTATGAATTAAGGAACCATTTCATATAAACTTATTTAATCTCTTTACATGTCGAAATGGAGAGCTGACGTAATTTGAAACTGGAGTATCAGTTACATTTGGTTGACACCTCAGTCAGTAGTCACTTTCTGTATTACTTGTTATATTATCACGAAATACACTGGTCCCTGACCGTGAGATCACACAATGACTGGATAGTGGATACCTTGCTCGTTAGGAAACTGTTCTTCTGTGGATATTGTAGTTTGCTATGTTTAGCTAGATTTGGCTAGCGGATAGGATATTGTAGTTTGCTATATTTAGCTAGATTTGGCTAGCGGATATTGTAGTTTGCTATATTTAGCTAGATTTGGCTAGCGGATATTGTAGTTTGCCATGTTTAACTCATTTCAATTTGGTTAACCAAAACCAAAAAAATTAAAAACACCCCGAATTAGTTTTGTTGAGATCTCAAGATCTGTGCTTGTTCTGATTACTTGTTTTAGTAGTGGGACATGTCCACCAACGCTGCCGAGAAGAAGAGTCTGCTCTGTACTCATTGTAACAAGGTTATCAGCTTCAACAGTCGTTACAAGCACCGGAGGAGGAAGGATCACAGGTGAAACTTTTAGTGCCTCCTTAGCTCGGCTTTTGTTCTGATACAGCGGAATTTTATCGAAGGTTTTAGACCGAAACGTTTCTCCAAATTTTGTGATATAATCCGAGTTCGCAGCTCATGTGTTGTTGTATTGCAGTGGAGTAGATGTCAGATACCTTTCAAGTGTTATCGATATGGATACCCCTCCGTATCTTCCTTTCGGAACTCCAGGCCAGTCTCCTAATCCTTACAGTGCTCCTTACGGTACTCCTTACAGCTCTCCTTACGAAGCTCCTCACAGCGCTCCCCCATTCAACCATCTTCCCACTTCTCTAGCTCCTTACTGCGATGGTCCCTACAGTTTAGATAGTCTTGTCACTCCAGCTAATCTACAAGAGATGTATCATAGACAGCTCCAATCTTACCAAACCAATCTACCCGCAGGTAAATACTTTTATTTAGTTGAATTAGCCTGATTCTTCAGTGGTTCATACTGGATGACGTGTATATAATCAACAATTATCAGCTGTTGGCTGAAAAAGATAAAGTAGCTATTATTATATATAATGGCTGCACACCTAAATAGTGTTATATATAACACTATTTAGGTGTGCAGCCATTGTTAGTTAATTACCAAAATAAAACAACTGGAAATTAAGTTTTTTTTTCAAGTCAAGTTAACTCACCCCAATTCTACAATTTTATAGCCTTGCCATAATATTACATCTGCAAATTTTGTAAAATTCAAACTATGATGAAATCATAAAAATGTTCAAATTATAACTTGATACAAGAACTTTGATATTTTCCAAATAATTATGAATTATGTTAACGGTTGGGTGGGAGGCCGGAAGTATCTCACACTCACACAAACTAACTAACAATCATCACTTCTCCTTTATTTCACTTCCTATGAAGCACTTTTACCTTGTCCCTCTTTGCACTCACCTCCTATATGGGCTATCTAGCCATGCGGCATGCCGGGCTGCCAAAGGGTGGGAAACGAAGTGACGTTCTAGACTTTCTCAGATTCACCAAATTGCCTAAATATAACCACCTCAAGAAGTCCTGGACGGAATGAGTCAGACGAGATCCAGCTGATTTTACAGAGAAACTCCTGGTGTGCAGCACTGACCACTGCTTCGATGCTAACTTTAATCAGCGGTGCATCACCCTGGTAACGGGGGCTGCGGCCGGGGTCTTCATCAACAACTATAAAGTCAATTTCAAGATAATTTTAATGAAGCCCCCCCCCCCCCGCTCCTTAAAAGGTCACAACGAAACACCTAGAATGCCATGAGCTTTTAACCAGTTGTTCGGTTCGTTAAATGGTATTATTTAGTAAAACACTCTAGCTCACTCACACTCCAAGTTAGGGGCTGATTTAATTACGGCCTAGAGGCGAGCTTGTGACGTAGATAATACCTTTACTCTATAGCAGTGAGAATAATGCGTGTGAATCGGTATTTGTTATTTGGACAGTGCTTGTTCACGTTTTGTTTTTGTTACACGATGTGTCCAATTAATGTGTCCAATAAATGTATATATACAACTGATACACCCGAATTTCCTTACTTCTTGAGTAAGAATTATAATAGTTTCTATTGAATACATAAGGCAATTAATTAACAGTTAGTGTAACAGTTAGTTTAAAGGTGTACACCGAAATAGGGACAAAAAATTTAACATTTTTGGTTTTTAACTCAATCTGATAGTCATTAGTCAAGCGAATATATTAACTTCCGCAAAATTTAGGGACACGCAAGTGAGGGTGTCACCCTCTACTTGGCCACTAAAATTAGGGTCGCTCGAGTAGATGCAGCATACTATCGCTCTATCTATAACTCTCCCCTCACTATATTACATTGTTTACATTTGCAATGCCACGTTTTCTCTCTGTTCACGCAATCAAGACACATTCGTTTTAACCAGTAACACTGAGCACTAGTAGTTTGTTATTGTTAACACGATTAGTTATTTAACTATGCCATCTCTTATCACTAGTTACAAGTTATAATATCACGAGTTATTTTAGTATTCTTAGTCACATTCAATTCTTCAATATTCGAACGACGATGTTACAGAAATAAAGTAGCTGAATGGCTGAACAACCAGCTTCGAAGAAGCGGAAACCAGGAGGATCATTTTGTGCTGTGGGTGGTTGCTCAAATCGTAGTGGCCGAAATAAAGTAAGTGATCACAGTGGAAGAAGATTTCTAAGATACATCAGACTACCCACAGATCAAGCTTCAAAGCAAAAATGGGTTGTGAGGATGAATAGAGATTCACGATCATGGCAACCTAGCCTTAGTACAAGAGTTTGTACTGATCACTTTTTCCTGAATGACTTTCAAGAGGGTGATTTGGAACGATATCATGCTCGGACCAATCCTGAAACTCGCACATTGATTCGCTTGAAAGTCGATAGTGTACCAAATACAGATCGAAGGACTGGTAGTTTCGCCAACCCCCTAGTCCAAACATTGTCAAAACGACCACCCCCTAAAGAAAGACTAGTTGAAATACAAACGGCAGGGTCGACTGATGATATAGATATTGAGAAGGATACAATCAACGACTCCTGTTCCAACATTGAACCTGATTCTTTTTCGGGGGTCGACGAGCTTTACTTCTCGGAAACTGACAGTGAAGATAGCCAACCTATTGAGGAAGATGATGATGATGACTTTGACACGGGTTTATATAATGAAGATCTCAACTCTTCATTTTCCGAAGAAGGTGACTTAGAACTGAATGATCTTGATTAATTAATTAATTCCATCTCCAGCCTTTGTTTTGGCCGATAATATCGGAAACCAGCAGTTCACAAAACAAGTCAGAAAATTAGCAATGTTCAAGCCACAATCCACACTGTTTACATTCCTTGATTTCCTAGTGTGCTGCATCTCTCTAGTAAACGAAAACTTTGATCGCTAATTTGAGGGTGATGTTATTAGACCCACGCTGCGAAACATAGCACAATGTTTCTGTATCACGCCCTATTACTGTTTTAGCCAAAGTTGCAAAATTCGCGGTGTGCACCTTTAAGATAATGGGGAAAGATACTGTTGTTTATATTTATATAGACAGTTCATGACATGCGGGAATTCGATACATTTGCAGATCTCATCGCATTGTTAAGGCCTTAGTTTCTGCGTTCATATTGACATCGGAAATATGTGAATAAATTTACAAATCAAAATTCAAGAACTTAAATCCTCAAAACAAATTCCGACGCTACAAATGCTTTGTATTTTCCGTCGTCTGACGGGTATAGAGATCTAATCTTCATGATAGCACAGCATGTATGCTGGAAGGACATATCTCCGATTTTTTCCCGATGAACCGTAGTTCGCACATGTTCAAAAAGTTCCTGTAGGCTGCATAACGCAGTCCTTCTGGTTTTATGTTCCCTTCTTTGTCGACGCGACGGGAATACTTTTCTGCATCATACCGAAAGAGCACATTTGTAGCATCTTTCGGTTACTGATTCCAGCTGAGAAAAGTTCGCAATCTGTAACACATGAAACTTTTTCAATATCCAAAATAATTTCGCTGATATGCGTACTTTCTTGGCAGCAATAACATCTCCGTGCCCAATACAGAAATACAGCACAATTACCACACTTGCACCAAGAACCTATATCGACTAGTCTAAGGTTGAATTCTTCCTTTTTCACTTCTTCATATTCATCTATGTCGCAAGATGCATATCCATTGGTGCTGAGTTCTGCATCATCCTCATGATCGCTTACTTGAATTTTAGGATCAAAACTGATGTCTTGTAAAACTCTTTGATCAGATACCTCTGTTAATGTTTCTAGCAACCATTCCTCATCAGTTGTAACATTATTTTCTGTTCCGCTATCGCTGTCAGACATTATTACTAAATAGGAGTAAATAACTTACAATCAATGTACAACGTTTAGAATATAATCACAAATAAACTTACTTTTTAACCTTATCATTATAAACTAGACAAAAGCCTATATCATGGTATATTGTGCAGTACAGTGGTGCAAGAATAATCAAGGTAAATCTCAAAGTAAAGTGGAGGGTAGGAAATTTCTTCGATTTTTCAAGTTTCCCAAAGATCCAAAGATGGCCAAAAGCTGGAAATACCGAATAGGAAGAAGACCGGAGGATGTTAGAACCTCGACGATGTTTGTATGCTCTGACCATTTTAACGACCAAGATATTATTAATCACACTCAGATCAATATATGTTACCGTGAAGGGATGCGAATCAAACTTTCGGCCACAGCTATACCAAACACTGACATGGAGACACAAACTATGGTAAAACCAACAGCTCAGAATACAGAATCCCCCGCTTCATCTAAACGTGACCGCAAGAGAGTTCGTCGTGATGCTGCATCGATTGATGCATTTATCCTCGAGCAGGAACAAATACTGCAAGGTACGTCTCCTGTTGAAATCAGCGTCTCACGGTTATGGTGAGCATAATTAGCAATCAAACTAGAGGTTTAAAAGCTTTGACTGATGCAGTGTCTATTGCGTGTATAATGTCTCAGTTTCGACTGAGCGGGTTTTGCCCCATGTTTAACTGCGGCAGTGTTCAGACTAGTTCAGTGATATATTTACTTATAGGTATTTTCACGATGGTTTGGAGTGACTAATTACAATTTGTATGACATCAAAATGAAAATACGTGTTAATAAATTTCTCTCGATCGTAGAAATTATCTAGTCCAGGGATCAAGAAACAACTGACTCGCAGTAAAATGCGAACATTTATAATTTCTCTATATCAGTTGTAGTTTTTATTTCTTCAAAATACGAAAAAAAAAAAAAAACGATGAGTAATCACACGTGTTATTTACATGTCCATCTCCATCTCTGTACACAAATTTCCATTAGAGGGGGTGTAAATGCGAGATTTGACTTTCGTATATTAATACCATTTATCTTCCCTTGAATTCAGAATGGTCCCCCAAGTAATTACATCAAACAACGAAATTTCAAGCACAAAAATTACTCTAGATATCGCTTGCTTACTATTATTAGGTCGCAACGTAATAGGGTCCCCATTCTACTGCCTACTACTAACCTACATGTTACTTCGGCTTGTGTATCTGATGTATAGCTGCTTTATTTGATTACTTCAGGCATTTCAGATTTATTGACTCCGTGTTGAATGTGATACAATTGTAAACATTTTGAAAGCGATGGTTCACTGCGGCGAAGGAGACTGCACTAACAGCCATAAAAAGAAAGAGCTCGTTTCAAAATGGCCAGGTCGCAATTTTGTGAGGTTTTACAGAATACCTGATCCAGAGAAAAAGAAACATCTATTCTCGCAATGGAGACTAAGACTAAGAAGGCGGCCGAAAGATGTTAAACGAACTACAAGGGTGTGCTCAGATCATTTTGCAGATGATGATTTTGATCCCAGATCTTTTGCTTTTGCAAAACTATCAGATTCGGAGACGCTGAAGAAAAAACAAATAAAGTTGAAAGTCGACGCAGTCCCAAACACTGATCGAACCAATGGCGAGGCACAATCGGTTGAGAATGGTGCTTCTAGTTCTACAAAGCCAGTCCGCAAGAGGATCAGGAGAGATTTTGCGTATATTGATCAGCTGATCCGTGAAAATGAAGCTCTTGTCGGCTCTGCCGCTACACATGAGGAGGACCAGAACCTAACTGATGCTACTGAATCTATGGATTTTGACTTGCCCCAATTGATGACTGCTTCTAACAGATATTTGTCCGTTATAATATCTGCTGATACAAGCAACAGCAAAGGTATTCAATGCTGCCCTATGCTGACAAACTTGTATACTCAAGCTGGACAATTTTAGTCCTGAAACCCCCCCCACTAGTCCCCAGTGTAAAGTATATTATATAGTTATATGCAATTCTCAGCCAGATATTGGAGTTCTAACAGTGTTCTATTTCAGGTATGGTACCGGTACCACAGTCTATACAGCCAGTTGCTAGCCCCGGTCACAACCCTCCTCTCCCCTCCTCGCCTCAAGTTGTTAACATTCCTGATAGCACTCAGGATAAAGGTGAGAATAACGCCTGGGATTACCCGTGCCAAACAATTGATAGTAATCGAGATTGGTTTTTAAAAAGAATTTAAACTATGAATTTTCGACAACTTACGGTGAAAAGCTGTGTTTTGCGATTAATCAGTTGCAGTATCATATCAAGATATCAATAACAGCAACTATTTTCCCAGAGATGACCACCCCTGTTAAAGAGAGTCCTGTCCGATCACCCGCAGCTAACTCTGCTAACTCCAGTCCTTCAGCTGGTTAGTTATCTACTTATCTCATAATACCTAGATTGCTGATGTTATCCTAGTTAACTTGATATCTGGGACAAGCTTTTGACTTAATCAATTTCCATGATAAAGATGTTTGTCTACGGATATGATGGCTTTACTAGAGCCCTTCTGATTCATGGCAAATGTGGTTGCTTTGAGATTCATGTTTAATTAATTATAATTATCTTCAGATGCGACCATAAAAGTGAGATTAGCTGGCAGCGAGGATTTCTTCGAGGTAGAACTGGTTGACATCGGAGACTCCTACAATTCTCTGGTCACATGTTTTGCGGAGGAACTGGACATCAAGTCGGAGACCGTCGCTAAGATACGGAAACTCCCAAATATTCTGATACGCAAAGATAGAGACGTTAAGAGGATCAAGCATGGAAGTGAGTTTGAGGTTGAACTTAACCCTGAAAGTTGAGACTTTGTTGAGATGCTGAAGAATACATCGGAATTCAGAAAGCTGTTTTAAGGATTAAGAGGACAGCTGCAGTGGTGGACAGTGAAACTTATGTTTCAATCAGTAAGCACGTGACCGTGTGCACGTGACCCTGGGAAATTAGGAGTTGTTTTATTTTTTTAATCTAATTTATTGACTGTTTTAGAATGTTTGGTATAATATTTCATCCGAATTTTATATAAACTAAATACCAGTAAGTGCAATGTAGTCATTAAAGTTTGTATAACGGCACAGTCATGATTTCAAAGCAAAAGCACCGAGATATTTAATTTGTTATGATTAATTTCAATAAACAGCCATTTTTAGTTTTTACCGAGCGACGAAATAGAATACTGAATTCATAATCTGGCTGAACTAAATTATTCATCGAAGCTAATTAAAGGCTTCGAACTCTTTTAAAATTTCTGGGGATATTGATAAAATTGAAAAGTTATTTCATTTTCATTATTGTAGGATTCACTAAAAAATTTATTTTTACATATTATTATTATAACTTTATAAGAGAGTTTTCATCAATGAGTTTATGATTAATGTCTTCAAATGAAAGGTTAAGAGATGATTTATAACCACCCGAACTTTGAACCATCCTATATTCGGTACAACACTTAAATTCCGGCATTTTCACACCGTCCAAATTAAAGCAAGACTCTGTCTAGACTGTCAGTACAGAATTAGACTGTACTTTTGCTCTGTACTTTTTGTTAGCCTGCGATAAAAATTCGCCTTTTTTATTGATCGGAGAAGCTTCTAAATCGTCTTTCCGAACTTTTTGAACTGGATTATTATATTAAAAAAGAAGTCAGAGCATTTTAACTTTGAAAATACTAAAAAGCTGAAAGTGATGGCGAGCCCTCCTTGAACATGACCTCAAATTATGTGGTCTTACTGTATTGATATGGCAATAATTTGACCGATTATTTCCCCGAGAACTACTGATTTTACAGATATTCGGGTATAGGATGTACTGTAAATTTTATACAGTGTACAATGAACATTAATATTATGATAACACCAAATCTCCAGTTAAAAGGAGCAATCTTAGACATATCATTATTCACTTTGTGAAATAATATCAAATTTACCTGCTCCCAACCTTGCAGATCGAAAAGTCATAATATTCAAATGATAATTATACACATTGAACTTTTGCTCACAATTATAATATGTCATAGTAAATGTTTGTCAATCAGATTAACCTGGATAGAAATGTAATTTCGTGTCTTCCCTGGCCAGATGTGATTGTGAACTCTAACAATTTATATTGCAATTCTCTATGATAACGATCCTGAGACCTGAATCTAATTTAAAAAGTTATGTTGATATCGATATTTATTATTGCTTGGTGACGGAGTGAAGTTAATTACACTGGTAAACTTCTTAGAAAAATGCTTGCTGAAAGTCTGAAAACAACTTGATTAGGGTGGAATCTGCAGATAGGGAAAAAATTGGAAATTCACGGAAGTTCCTTTTATTATAGCATGTAGGTGTTTAATAGGTTCATTTTTTAATTAATTAATAGTTATTCCTAACCACATGTAAATATGTTTGTGTCATCAGCAAATAAGACATAGCTAGTGTTATCGAGTTGAGATTTTTTTATGTATATTAAAAACAAGAGAGGACCAAGGCAGCTCCCCTGTGGAACGCCATAGAGAACGGGAAGTCTGTCTTATACTTCGCCCAGGACAGACACACACACTGCTCTCTGATCGACAAGTAACTTTCCAGTAACTTAAGTGGCACTCCTCTAATCCCATATATATTTCAAGTTTCTTAAGCAAAATTGTGTGGTCTATAATTGTGTCAAAGGCCTTGCTTAGATCAATAAAAATTCCTAGAACATGAAGACCTTGCTTTAGGGCCTTTTGGATGTGAAAAACTGAGTAGTTAAGTGCATGCGATGTTGAGTGACTCTTTCGGAATCCGAATTGGCTGTCGTGAAGGATTCCTTGACTAACCAAGAAGCTGTAAAGACGTTTGTATATAATCTTTTCAAAAATTTTACCAAAAATTGGAAGTGTGGAAACAGGCCTGTAGTTCTCAATCAGTTCTTCGTTATCTTTTTTGTATATTGGGGTTATTTTACCAAGCTTCAGAACTGACGGAAATATCCCTTGAGATATTAGGCGATTAAATTGAACAACAAGAGTTGGGCTAAGAATACCCGATAGTTTTTTAATAACTCTTATGGGAAAGTCGCTGGCTTTCCCACTCTTCAAGTTGGCTATAATCTCAGAAATTTCATTTTCATTACAGTCGTGGAAGTAAATTGAATCGAGAGTTTTTGGTGGCATGAATTCGAGGAAAGAGGGAAGAGGTTCTAAAAGAAGGCCACTATGAGTATTTTCATTCATTTTTGAGGCAATAGAGGCAAAGTACTCATTAAATTTGTTGGCTATCACCCGTCTTTCAACAATACGGACTCCATCTACCGTAAATTGGGGTTTGATGGTTTTTTTTCTTTTCCCTCTAATCTCATTTATTACTTCCCACATCACAAACAAATATTTGAACGATATTGCAAAATTTAGGGTGTACTCTGTTTTTGGTTAAATGCTAAATCCAATTTTATTATTATAATTTATTTGGTACTTTTTATGATTGAGTCGTTACATATTATAGTAAATAATCTTGTTATATTTAATTCTGTTTGCTTAAGACGTAAATAAAATTTATACAACAATTTGTTTCAGGAATGTCACTTCAAAAAACAGAAAGGTTTGATGGGATTGATATCAAAGAAGAGATGACAGAAGACCAACAAGTTAACACAACTTCAACCTGGTCAGTATGCAATTGTAAATGCGAGGAAAACGACAGAAGTAACAATCTGAAAGCTGACACCGTGCTGTGTAATCAGTTTGAAGCTAGCTCAGAACACTTCAACCAAGTAAGTGAAGTTGTAAAGATTGAAGACGTCAGGAGTTTCCGTGATGTTCCGGCTAAAGATGAACCTTTGGACTATAAAGAACTTCGGTGTGATAACTGTAATCTTGCGCTAACACCATCGAATGTAAGACCTGCGAAAGAAAAGTCTTCTTCTTTTCCTATACCTACTGAGTCTGATTGTGGTATTCAGGATGAACCTCTATCTATTGGAGAAACCTCTTTGTCTGGGACTGAACATAAGTTGAAAAAACACAAACGAACACACACCGGAGAGAAACCTTATTCTTGCAGTTTTTGTGATTATAAATCGAATCGATCGAGCGATCTTGCTCGTCACGAACTGATACACACAGGAGAGAAACCCCATTCTTGCAGTTTTTGTGATTATGAATCGAATCGATCGAGCGATCTTACTCGTCACAAACTGACACACACAGGAGAGAAACATTATTCTTGCAGTTTGTGTGATTATAAATCAAATCACCCTTCCAGTCTTGCTTCTCACAAACAGACACACACCGGGGAGAAACCTTATTCTTGCAGTTTGTGTGATTATAAATCAAATCACTCTGGTAATTTTGCTTCTCACAAACGGACACACACCGGGGAGAAACCTTATTCTTGCAGTTTGTGTGATTATAAATCAAATCACTCTGGCAATCTTGCTTCTCACAAACGGACACACACCGGGGAGAAACCTTTTTCTTGCAGTTTGTGTGATTATAAATCAAACCACTCTGGCGATCTTGCTCGTCACAAACGGACACACACTGGGGAGAAACCTTTTTCTTGCAGTTTGTGTGATTATAAATCAAACCACTCTGGCGATCTTGCTCGTCACAAACTGACACACACAGGAGAAAAACCCCACTCTTGCAGTTTTTGTGATTTTAAATCGAATAGATCAAACGATCTTGCTCGTCACAAACTGACACACACAGGAGAGAAACATTATTCTTGCAGTTTGTTTGATTATAAATCAAATCACTCTGGCGATCTTGCTCGTCACAAACTGACACACACCGGGGAGAAACCTTATTCTTGCAGTTTGTGTGATTATAAATCAAAACACCCTTCCAGTCTTGCTTCTCACAAACGGACACACACCGGGGAGAAACCTTATTCTTGCAATTTGTGTGATTACAAAGCGAGTCGATCGAGCAATCTTGGTCGTCACAAACGGACACACACAGGAGAATAACCTTATTTTTTGCAGTCTGTGTGATTATAAATCGATTCAATTGAGAGATCTTACTGCTCACAAACGGACACACACAGCAGAGAAACCTTATTCTTGTAGTTTCTGTGATTTTAAATCAAATCAATCGGGCAATCTTGCTAATCACGAACTGACACACAAGAAATTCAGGATTCAGGAACAAGAAGTTCGCTAGTTAATACATTAAAACATTATACAATAATATATATAGTATCTTAGTATGTTTGATAAATTTACTTGGGACAGAATTTTGAAAGCTTCCAAAATCTTGTCGGTTATCCCAAAAAATATATTTGAATGATATTGCAAACTTTTTTGGTTAATTGCTCACTAAAATTGTGGCTTGATTATAATATATTTTATTTGATAATTTGATGATCGAGTAGTTACAAATTATAATACACTAGAAACCCGCTAGTTGAAAGCTTTGTTCGAGGAAATTTTAAAAATCAGTTATGTTTAATTTCTCTTTATCATCTAGCTCTGTACTACTACTAGAGAAAGTAGGAATTTTATTTGATTACCGTAAAGAAAAATATTAATTGAAGACCCAAGTACGAATTCGTAAATAAATAACCAGTAACCACATACCTTACTCGGGAATATTATAACCGGGATAAAGTGGTGGGTTTTGGAAGATTCCGCCATATTTTTCCCGGTCAAAAATTTTACCAGTCATAAAAAACCCGCCGACTCAGATTATGGGGTTCCAAGGGGGTGGTGATCATTATATTTTACCTGAAGTCTCATATGTGCTAGAGAAGACTTTTGAAGCAGTGGATGGAGGGCTGTAACTTTATTGGCGGTTGCTACCATAATTTCGTTATAAAAATCACAATTTGGTTATAGAAATCAGATTTTAGGGTGGACCGTGATTCTCACTTCTGTGACATCACATCCTTGACCTTTAAACTACTTTGTACTTGATCAGAGCTGATATTATGCAGGCTGTGTTTGGAAAAGATGAAACTGCAGGAGCATTTCCATTCCAAATCTCTGGCTGCAGAATTGTGTCCATTTACAAGTCTTCTTTTGATTGGTCGGCGTCGACTGTAAGCCTTCCTTGCGGTGGCTTTCACAACGCGTCCCCATTCTCCAACTCCTGCTGCTGGAGAGAGAGACTCCCAAATTATATACCATAAATATATATTATACATAGATATCGACAACAGACTCCGAAAGTCTTGAAGTTCTGTTACCACCGCCCCTGGTGCAACCCCTTACGTTAATTTCAAAAATGAAGAAAGAGAGATTGTCAACGAAAACCTTCCTGAGATTGTTGCACAATTTTCTGGTAAAGGTTTCCAGTTGCGTGGTGTAAGCTTCATGTATTCCGAAATAATCACTCGTCTTGTCCTGGTTTCTTTGGATAGAATTGAAAGTTTCTTCTCTGACAACTGGAAAGATGTTCGGTCATTGGTGATGGAACGAGAATATTTTTACGGGTTGATTATCAGTCGAAAGCGAATTTATTCAACATCTTTGTTGTTCATGTGGAAGGTTGCTCAGATGGATCAGATAGAGCCCTTCGTTTCGTCAATTCTTCAACTAGAGGAGTCATGTAAAAACTCTGGGAATGATGAGTCTGAGATGGAGACATTTTTAGATCGGTTTTACGAGAAATTGGGTGATGCTGATGAGAGTGATTTTGATCATGAGACACTTAAGAAGAATCATTTTAAATATCTTATTGCAGATTTTAAGTTATTTTGAAGTAATCCTGAGCACTTTACGATTTTTGTTTTTGAAGATAAAGTTTCTGAATTACATAAAATTACCCGACTTATGTTTACCATAGCCCAAAATATCCAAGATAAATGGCAGCAGGATCAGCTGAAAGGTCTTGTTTTTTGGGCTCTTGATCTTGTTCAACATTGTAAAGATAATGAAATTGTTAGAACGTCAATAATTTCATAATATATGTTTACTTGAAAGATTATGATTGATTATTTTATGTATTAATTATGTGATTACTTTTCTAGGTGAACGATTTATGATTACTTTTCATACTAAACTATAAAATTTGTGATCTATGATAATTTTTTATTTAAAAAGTGCATGGATACTTTTTTATTCTATTTTTATGATTCGTAAACTTATTTTAAAGTACGGTTTAACTCACATCTTTTTCGTTTACTGCTACTCTAATGGTGACTTATTTCCAAAATTCTACGATTTAAAACCCCGTTTTGTATATCTCTACCACAATTTGATCAAATCTAATATGTTTCAAATCTAAATAATCTTCATAATATTTCAAATTGCCATAATTCTCAAAAGTTAGAAGCTTTCTGATCAATAATTCAATAATCGTATCTATTCTTTCGCTGAGCAGTTGTATTAAGCCAAATGTTTTTATGAATCTGAGATGCCTACAATTATTTGTAACTGTTCAACCATTTCCTGTAGTGTTGTTTAAAAGAACGTTTGGAAGGGGTTGAATCACGAATGGGCACAGATTTACTATTCGTCAGAAAAAGTTACAGGTAAAAAGGTAAATCCGATCATCAAAGTACTGATATTTGATTTAGCAGCTAAATATTGATTGAATCGTCTTGCTAATGATTTTTCAGCACTTTTTATCATGTCTTTACCTATTACTAAATTATAATATAATTGGGATTTTTCCACGGGACAATTTGTAATTATATTTTGAGTTAGATTGAATTTTTATTGAATTTTGATTCAATTATTTTTCAGGGTTGATAATCTGAGCAAAGATTCATCGCACGATAGCAATGAGCAATCTTGACGTTCTTGAAAATGCTCTTGAAAACTTCTGTCCCTATTCCCAACAAAACAAAGCTACGACTTCACAACCTCAATGTAGTAGCAGTTGCGAAAATGACGAAAAGGATTCGCTACATATAGATATCCAAGATAAACATGGAAAAACATATTTTATGTACGAACTTGAAGGAGAGGAAAATAAACAGGTTGAAAGATTAAGTTTTACTTTTAATGCGGTAGAGATTAAGTCAAAGATCAAAAAGACAAAGAAGCATCTCCTCCAAAATACTTGGGATCTCCCTATGGCAAACTTTTCGCGTGATGAACTTTTAATATACATGATCATGTTCCACGAGAAAATTGAAGGGTTGCAAAGGATAAATAAACTTGAGTCTGGTTTTGCTGAAATGATTTGCTGCGCCTTGCATAACTATTGGAACGATCATAAATTAGTAGGAATGGCGCTAACAAATATTCTCTCTGTCACTCAGATTGCTAGCAATGAAGTCAAACGCTCCTTGCTTGATACTAAAATTATATTGGCGGCAGTCATAACGGTCAGTCTTCAGAGGGACTATCTTAAATACACTAGTGAAGTCGATGAAACTATTGAAAACGTATTGCTGATACTCTATTATGGAATCGAAAAAGATGTCGGTAAGCTACCACGACTTGATTTTAGGGTTATTGAAGTAATCATGATGCTTGTCCCATACATGGTCAGTCATTTAAAAAGACGGGACAGTACGGAGGAATTTTTCTGGCTGCTACGACACTTGCTCATCTTCATTCTGAACAAATATGATACTGCAAGCAGAAAAATAATCAAAGATTTGTTGTCTAAACACGGCATAGTATCATGTGTTTTGGAGTTTGTAATGAAGGACCAGTTAACAAATGTACAAATACTGGATCTCAGATTTATGAGAGTTATTGATATCGCTTTTCTACTAAAAGAAGAGGCAAAATTAAACGATTTCTACCAGATTGTTCCGAATCTTCTCAATTTTTTGAAGTTAGGTGGGCACCCTCTAATAACTCAAATTCTTGTTGACTACTCTCAAACAGCACAGGTTGTGGTAAAGATCTTTAATGTTCTCGTCCAAGACCTCACCCTTGAAGGAGCTAAATTTCTGATGGACAACCTATTTTTGAATAATATGATTAAAGCGCTGGTAAATAATCGATATTATCAGCAAAGGAAAAAAGAAATTGCAGGCATTTCATACCAGTCGATGGCAAAAATTGTTTCCCTCATCATGAATGGTTCTCCAAGTCAACAAAATATAAAAACTTGCTTTTCGATGCTTCTGAACATTTGTGAGCAACTGGAAGTATTCATAAATCCATCCTGTGATCTAAAGATAACTTGTTCATACCTTTTCTACCTAGCTGCTTCTCTTCTATCGGGATATGCACCGACCCCTTTTAGTATCACAAAGGATACAATTCTCTTGATGATGAAGGCTCTTACAGTAGTTTGTGATATCGATCATGTTAGGAAAGTTGAGAGTGATGATGATCATACTATATTTGGCAATAAAGAAAGAATCGAACACTTTTTGGAGCATTTTATATTGGTAATTGATCACAGACCCCATAACGAAGATGAACGGTTAAAACTGAAAGATATCGTGAATGATGACTTGCCTGAAGTCATATCCGAGTTTGTTGGTATGCAGAGTGACATTCACATCCTTTTTGCGGAAGCTTTAACTCGCTTGGTCCTACTCTTCTATGACTTCATTGGAGATTTCTTCTCAACACGTTGGCAAAATGTTCATTACTTGATGTTGTCATACTATTTGCACACATGTACAGAAGCGAGCCGAGAACCGATGATTCACCAAACAAAGTTACTCTTTATGTGGAAGTTGTTTGCTATGGACAAAAGCAAAGCAATTGTCTGTTCTATTTTGCAGCTTGAAGTCGATTTTAGAGAATGTACTGATAAGTTTTTGGTAGGCGAAATTATCGAAAGATGTAAAGCCACAATTAAATCAAACACTGTTCAAATATCGGCCGCTGAAGACAATTCAAGTAAACTTTATTGTTATCTCACCTCGGATATAAAATCTATTTTAATGGATCCTACAAATATTACTCCTCGGCTTATGGGTCCTTCCGTTTATGCCCTTCGTGAAGTCACATACGTCATGTTCAAAATGGCTCAAAATTGTGTCTCAAAAGCGCATGTAAAGTTGTTAAAGAGTCTTGTATTTTGGGCACTAGATCTTGTCAGGGATCAGAATGAATCCATAATAAAAAATAATGTTGATAAATTTATCATCCATTTATATCTTGAACGAGAATAATATGAGTAAGTATTTTAAAGCTAGAACCCTGCGGATAGCCAGTCAAATCTGTTTGTAGATTAAATCGTACATAATTATTTTAAAGTTCATTAATTCCATTCATTAATAACGAAATACCTTAATTTGGTTAATTTGATTTTTGGAGTTGGTTCATTTTTATTGTAACCTATTGTAACCTACTTTTGTTTGTTCGTTTTAAATAAGGTTATAAATGTCTTGATATAATAATACATTTTAATAATAAATATGCATGAATTAATGCATAAACTACATAATATTATAGAGAGGATGTTGATTTTTATTTATATGTAAGCATGTACAACGATTACTTCTTGGTAGAGTTTTCTTTATTAATGCTTTTTTAACATACAAAGTTACAACAAAGTCTTCATGTTATGTTTCCTGGGTTTGGACAGGATATTACCCGCTTAAAATATTTCCAGCGCGTTACATAATACTCAATAAGTTTAAAATAGATTTGTAGTGTCGTATTTAGTTTAAAACTAAATTAGTTTATCTAAATTGATGTCATAATAAAATATCATCATTATAATATACATTTTCCCTCCTAGTAAGTGTTTCGAATTTCCATGACTGTTTGTTGTGACTTATAGTTAATTTAAAGCCTCGGATAGTCTCAATCACTAACTAATTTATTAATTAACAGCCAGTGAGATGGTAGCAAGTGACCTGTCCTACCTGTTGTTCTACGACACATTTGAGCACACGGAACATGTGGAGGAGTCTCAGATAGATATGATCAGCTTCAACACACCTGTTATTCTACACGAGATACGGTAAATCAACTGT